TTGGTGTTAAAAGCATCAAGGAAAAATGTTTTAGATCCAAGGAGTAAATTTAGACCTAATTGGTCTGGACCCTATATTGTCAAAACAATCCTATCAGGAGGTGCAGCAAAATTAACTGATATGGATGGCAATGAGTTCTTGAACATGACAAATCTTGACCAACTTAAAAAGTACTACCCATAATTACTTGAGTAGGATACTCAAGAGAGCTACGTTTGGCCTGATTCCTTAGGAAAGGATATGTACGCAACCCTTTACGGGTGCGACCACTTTAATTTTCGCAAACCTCGCATCCCTGATATAAAAATAAATTCAACAGAAATTCGACGAAGCTTCGGCGTCACTGAAAAAACTCTGTTGCCGACCGATGAACATTAGCACCAGACGACAGCGTCTGTCGTCAGACGCCAGATTGTCGCAGCTGGCGCTAGTCGTAAAGGAGCAACGCCGTTTCTTCTGGGAGCATCAGGGAATATTTCAGTGTTTTTCGGAAAATTTTCGACTTCCGTACTCGAAAAAATTTCTGGAAAATTAAATTTTCTGTTTTCATTGCTTTAATAAAAAAAATTTGAAGGAGATGATTTAATTAAAAGCTGAAATTTCATCAAGAAAATAAACTAACAAATTACATTATTGATGGAATTTAAATAAAGCTTAATAAAACAAATTAACTTTAAATTTAAAACTAAGTCTAATAATTAAAACTTAAGCAATGCTTCAATCTTTCTTCTCTTTCTTTGCTCTCTTCCATTTTTTATCTGCATCCTCTTCATCGTCCATGGCTTTAGCTAGTAGGCATCCTTTAGAGGACCTACATTCAATTTTGGAGTAAATAGTTTCTCCCTTAGCTAGGTGATGAGTGGCATTTATGCCACGATTAAGGTTCATTTTGATGGTCATTTTACCTCATTTGCGGCTTGTTTGCATCCTTTTCTTTGCACTAAGTTCCATTTCCCTTTATGCATCTTCTATCCTAGATTTTTCCCTTTTTCCTACTCTTTACTTTGATTTCCATGCTTATTCTTTGTAGGAACCGGGGTCTTCAAGAGGAGGTAGCTAAAGTTAAAGGAAAGCTGAAGATAAGAAAGGTTAAGGAGAGGTTCGGCCGAACCCCCTGAAGGTGCGGTCGAACCAGGGTGTGGCCGAACCTGCTCCATTGTCCGGCCGAACGTCGAGGCAGAGTCAAGTTGCATTTTGGTGATTTTGCAGGAGTGGTCGAACCTCAGAAGTTCGACCAGACCAGGATCAGGGGAGTTCGACCGAACCTACCCATGGTTCGACCGAACCTACCCTGTAGTCTGGCCGAACCTTCCCAGTATTCGGTCGGACCACTCCCCTACTTCAGCTAGCTATGTACGGACTATATAAGTCCCATTTGAGAACGTTTTGATGTAATTAGATTAATTTAGTTTTAATTTTCGGCATTTTTGTAGCTTAATATAGAGAGAGAAACATTATTAGTCTTCATCTATTAGAGAGAGAAAGTGTGGATTTCTTCATTGATGAACTTGGATTTTGAAGAAGAAGCTTGTTTAATCTTCTGTAGATCTTCAACTTCAATTAATGAGCAAACTCTTACTGTTTCTCTTTACCTTTGCATTTAATTTTGTTTGAGAGAGAAAGTGTGGATTTCTTCATTGATGAACTTGGATTTTGAAAAAGAAGCTTGTTTAATCTTTTGTAGATCTTCAACTTCAATTAATGAGCAAACTCTTACTCTTTATCTTTACCTTCGCATTTAATTTTGTTTGTTTACTTTGATTTTTCCTTCCTTACTTATTATTCATGTTGATGATTATTGATTTGGTGATTTATATTGTTTTCAACATGATTTGTGAGTAGTCACTTAGCCAAGGGTGTGGGGATAGTGTAGTTGCTAATTGTTCATGCTTATAATATTGGGATTAAGTTAATTGTGATTAAAATCTTTGCATGCTTGATATTCTTTTATCTTCTTGCAAGTGCACATTGTTGGTTGATTAAAGGTGAATCTTTGCTAACAAGGAACGGAAGTTGACTTAGTTAAGGTTCATTACTATCGATTGTTCTTTTATTGCACCTCCCAATACATGGTTCTAGTGTGGAAACATAGAGGCTATGTTAGGAGAAACCGATTAACCCCGGAAGATGGTTAGATTGGACCTTATTTCGATATTCATGCATGTTTAGTTCACTATTGATTTGCTTTTATGTTATTGCATGATCAAGTGGCATCTACATCTACCCATTTCCCTTGGTTTTTAGTTATATTGATTTTAACTCGTTTTACCTTTAGTTTAATCTCTTAGTCATTCCTGTCCTTTGTCCCGAGATAGCTTAAAGTCTAGTGATGAATGCGGTGTTTATGCGGTTCGACCCCTCTTCTTGCCATATACTTGTATTAGGATAAGTCGAGTGTTATAAATTGTATTTGATTTAGGTGTAGTTGTCTAACGACGCGATTATTCCATTATCAAATTGGCGCCGTTGCCGGGGAGACGACTTCCATTGTTATTTCATTTCTTGTTTGAGACTATCTCACCTCTTATTTGTTAGTGTTTGCTACTTTTGTTACTTGTCAGTGCTTACGTTCTTCTTAGCTTTGTTGTATGAACAGAGGACAACCCGCTCAAGGTCTTTGATTCCCATCGATCCATAGCTAGAGAGGTCTTTGTCCCTACTTCAAAGAGAAGCGAGAGCAAGGAGTAGAAATTCTCACACCACAACGAGAGGAGTAAAAGAATTAGAAGATACTCCACCCTCTTCACCCTCAAGTGAAGAATTAGATAGCCCTAACTCATCATCGTGTCCGGAAATCAACTCTTTCTCAACCTATAAGTTTGAGAGTGAAGAAGGTCCTAAAATGGGAGAGAATACACCTTTGAGTCGTCTTGGGGCTCCCGAAGCCTTCAGTGCACAAAGTGGGATCTTAACTCCTACTACTCAAGCCAACAATTTCGAAATCAAGCCCAATTTGATTGCTTTGATAGAGAGGAAACAATTCTCAGGTGGAAAATTTGAGAGTCCCCATGAACACTTAAAAGAGTTCAAGAAATATTGTGACATAGTAAAGGTTAATGAAGTGACGCAAGAATATATTCGCCTCAAGATGTTTCCATTTTCTCTAATTGGGAGAGGACTAGAGTGGCTAGAGAAGGAGGTGCCCCCTAACTCCCTCACAACATGGGACCAAGTGACTACGACTTTCTTGAGGAGGTTTTATAACCATAGGAAGACCGCCGAAGCTTGGTCTTTGATCCAAGGTTTTCGCCAAAAGAGTGGTGAGTCTCTAAGTGCGAAATGGGAACGATACAAAGAACTTCAACGTCAATGCCCACACCATGGGATACCAAAGTATCAACTCATTCACACTTTCTATGGAGGTCTCACACCTAAAGGAAGAACAAGCCTAGACGCCGCGGCCGACAGTCCAATCATGATCAAAGGAGAGGATGAAGTGGAGTGTATTATAGTGGAGACCGCAAAGCACTATGATGATTGGTATGAAAGAGAAAGGGAGGCTACTTCTAGTAAGGGTGTTTATGCATTGGAGCAAGCCAACGCAATCAACAACCTCTCTACCCAAATCTCCAAAATGACCAAGCAAATGGACGAATTGATGAAAGAAAAGGTCCAATCCTCATGGCAATACCTCCCCTTCAACTAAGGGAGGCAATGGTATGGCCACTTCTTCCCCCTCTTCTTACAATACAATGCCCCAAGGATGCATGTTTTTTTCTAATTGTGAAACCTATGATCATGATACCTCCCATTATGTTTATGCTTGTGAAGTTCAACCCCTTCCCCATGAACATGTACATGATGATAATGTGGAAGATGTCAATGCTATGAATTTTGTTCCTAGAATGGGGAATGTAGGGAACTTGAGGCCAAACTCCAATCAAATGGGGAATTGGAATCAAGGTGGAAACTGTGGTTGGAACAAGGTGGTGGTGGTTATGATAACCAATACCATGGTGGGGGAGGCCCTTCCAAATTCAATGAAAGAGGCTACTCTAACCAAAATCAAAACCAACAACCTAATTCCCAATACCATGACCATTAAAATCAAAATTTTGGTGATCAAGGTAACATGTGAAATAATCAACAAAGCAATGTTCCTAACTAAGGCACCGGAGGCAATAGGGGTTAATATGTCTCCAACTATGCCCAAACTAATAGGCCTCCGGGTTTCCATCAACCCCGACTTCCTCCACCTCAACAACCTCTTTAACTTGAAGCCCCTCCAAATGATCCCGTGATGGCTAAGTTAGATGCTATAATGAAAATGCATGAATAGGATAAAACGCGAACTAATGCTCACATGAAAATTCTTGAAACCCAAATTGCTCAACTTGCATCTAATTCATCATCTTCTTCTTCTTCTACCATTCCAAGTCAAGGAGTCAACCCAAAACCTTTGTATGTCACGACAACTAGGAGTGGGAAGGTAGTAGGGAGTGACCTTTTAGTAGAGGGGGTGGAATTAAAGAATGAGGGTGAGAGAACCAATTAGCCATTGAGTGTTGAGAAGGAAAAAGATGTTGAGGTGCCAAAGGAAAGAATCCACCCCCTTGCCCCTAAATCGCCAACCTAGAGAGGAGAAGCTACCCTTTCCATAACGATTCGTGAGAGCTAAACTTGATGCCCGATTTGGGAAGTTTTTGGAAGTCATTAAGAATTTGCATGTTTCCGTTCCTTTTGTTAATGCTATGAAGCAAATGCCCCACTATTCCAAATTCTTGAAAGACTTTTTGAGTGGGAGAAGGGAGTGTGAAACGGTGAGCTTGACCGCCAATTGTAGTGCAATTCTTTCCAACAAAATGCCTACCAAATTGAAAGATCCGGGTAATTTCTCCATCCCTTGTTCTATTAATGGCATTGAGTTTGATAAAGCCTTGTGTGTTTTAGGAGCAAGTGTGAGTCTCATGCCCTATTTGGTCTACCAAAATCTTAGTGTAGGAACCCTCTCCCTCACTAACATAATTCTCCAACTAGCGGACCGTTCCATTTAGTTCCCCATGGGCAAGGTTGAGGACATTCCCCTTAGGGTAGGAAAGTTCACATTCCCCGTGGATTTCTATGCGCTAGAGATGGATGAGGACGAGAGGATTCCTATAATTTTGGGTAGACCATTTCTAGCTACTTCTAGAGATATCATCGATGTGAAGGAGGGTAAGATATCCTTGAAAATTGACAATGATTCCATTGAATTTGATTTCAATAGTGTCATGCAACAACCCTCCTCAAGTGGTGAATGCTTTAGAGTATATGTTGTTGATACCGTGCTTATTGAATTTTCTCGCTCCCACTTGCATCCAACTAATGATCCTCTTGAAAGTGTGTTGTTGAATGAATCCAAGATAGGTACTCAAAAAGAAGACATACAATTCTATGAGGATTTACTTGAGTAAAGCAAGAGGGAGTGCAAGGATGCGAGCATGGAAAAAGAGGCTCCTTACATTCATGACCTCTTTCAAGTTGAAGAAAGAGAAGAGAGCCCCAATGGTAAGGGAGCACAAAAGGTAGACTTGAAACCTCTACCTTTGGGCTTGAGGTATGCATTTCTTGGTTTCGATGAGTCTTTCCCCGTGATTGTCAATTCTAATCTAACGGAGGAGCAAACCTCCCTATTGATCAATGTTTTAAGAAAACACAAGAAAGCTTTGGGTTATACCATTAATTATATCAAAGATATAAGTCCATCTTTATGCATGCAAAAAATTGATCTAGAGGGAGATTCCAAACCCGTTAGACAACGACAAAGAAAGCTTAACCCTTCCATGCAAGAGGTTGTGCGGAAGGAATTGGCTAAGCTTCTTTATGCGGGAATTATCTACCCAATTAGTCATAGTGATTGGGTATCTCCCGTACAAGTTGTGCCTAAGAAAGGGGGCATGACGGTAGTGAAAAATGATCATGATCAACTAGTGCCTACTAGGCTTGTTACCGCTTGGCACATGTTTATTGACTATCGCCAACTTAACACAAGTACATGAAGAGATCATTTTCCACTACCGTTCATTAATCAAATGTTGGAAAGGCTTACAAAGAATTCCTTCTATTGTTTTCTTGATGGTTACTTGGGATTTTTCCAAATCCCAATTGACCCCAAGGATCAAGAGAAGACGACTTTGACATGCCCCTACGGTACTTATGCGTATCGTAGGATGCCTTTCGGGCTTTGTAATGCCACCGCAACATTCCAACGTTGCATGATGTCAATTTTTAGTGATATGATTGAGGATGAGATAGAAGTCTTCATGGATGACTTCTCCATTGGAGGAGCCACCTATGAAGATTGTCTATCCAATTTATCTCGTTGCTTAGAAAGATGCGAGAGAGCCAACCTCGTGTTGAATTGGGAAAAGTGTCACTTTATGGTGGAAAGTAGAATTGTTATTGGGCATAAAATTTCTCATGTCGGCATTGATTTGTTAGAGCCAAGGTGGAGGTCATTGAGAAACTTCCTCCTCCCACCAATGTGAGGGAAGTGAGATCTTTTCTCGGCCATTCCGTGTTCTATCGGCGCTTTATAAAAGATTTTTCATTGATTGCTAAGCCTCTCACATCCCTATTGCAACTGGATAAAGAGTTTGTGTTTGATTAAGAGTCTTTTTGTAGGTTGAAAGAAGCACTTTGCACCGCTCCTATTGTCCAAGGTCCGGATTGGTCCCTACCATTTGAACTCATGTGCGATGCAAGCGACGAGGCTATTGGATTGGTTCTTGGGCAACGAAAGGATGGGAAACTTCATGTCATACAATATTTGTCTAAAACTCTCAATGATGCCCAACAAACTACACAACTACCGAGAAAGAGTTCTTAGCGGTTATTCACTCATTTGAGAAGCTTAGAACCTACCTCATTGGTTCTAAGACAATTGTGTATACCAACCACTCGGCTCTCAAATATTTGATAAGGAAATAAGGAAGCTAAATCGAGGTTGTTGAGATGGGTTTTAGTTCTCCAAGACTTCGGTTATGAGATGAGAGACAAGAAGGGAGCCGAGAATGTGGTGGCGGATCACCTTTCAAGGTTGGACGGTGCAAGTTTTGAAGATGATGGTTTTCTAATAGAGGATGCTCTAAGGGATGATGTGCTATATGTCCTTGAGGTGAAGTCAGAACCATGGTATGCGGATATTGTGAATAATTTAGCTTGTAGTGTAGTACCTCTGGATTTCACTTCATAACAACGTCGAAGACCTCAAGCATGAGGCCAAGAGATACATTTGGGATGATCCTATTTTATTGAAGAGTGGGGTTGATGGTTTGTTGAGGAGATGCGTCCCCAACGACGAGGTTCAGAGTGTTCTCCATATGTGCTACTCTTCTCCTTGTGGTGGGCATATGAGTGCTCAAAAGACCGCCTCAAAGGTTCTACAATCTATGCTCTTTTGGCCTTGTCTATTCAAGGATGCTTGGGTTTTTGTTAAGACTTGTGATATATGTCAACGGATGGGGAATATTTCTAGGATGGATGAAATGACGCAAAACCCCATCCTTGAGCTTTAAGTTTTTGATGTGTGGGATATAGATTTCATGGGCCCTTTTATTCCTTCACATGGGAACAAGTATATTTTGGTTGCCGTTGACTATGTCTCTAAGTGGGCGGAGGTGCCGTGGCTTCCCCTACGAATGATTCTAAGGTAGTGGTTAATCTCTTAAAGAAGGTGATTTTCCCAAGATTTTGTGTTCCAAGAGCCATAATTAGTGATGGGGGGTCACATTTCAAGCACCACACCTTCCTCGACTTCTTGATAGATATGGAGTGTCTCATAAGAGTGGGCTTGCTTACCACCCTCAAACGAGTGGTCAAGCGGAGATCACCAATAGGGAGCTCAAGGTTATCTTGGAGAAGATGGTTTCTAGAACAAGGAAGGATTGGTCTTCTAAGCTCATCGTCTCTCTATGGGCGTATAGGACCACCTTCAAAACTCCAATAGGAACCACTCCCTATAAGCTTGTTTATGGGAAAAATTGTCACTTGCCTGTAGAGATGGAGCATCGAACCCATTGGGCGATCAAGCAAATCAACTTTGACCTCCATAGTGCGGGTGAACAAAGGCTTCTCGAGCTACATGAGTTAGAGGAGTTGAGGATGAATGCTTACAATAGCGCAAGCATGTACAAGGCACGGACTAAGGCTTGGCACGATGCTCAAATTGTCAAGAAGGAATTTGTCAAAGCCCAAAAAATTTCTCCTATTCAACTCCCGCTTGAAGCTTTTTCCGGGCAAGCTTAGGTCAAGGTGGAGTGGGCCGTACATTATAACGGAGGTGTTCCCATATGGTGCTTATCAGATTTCCCAAGACGGGCATACTCCATTCAAAGTGAACGGTCACCGACTAAAGCCCTACTATGAAGGATTCCCAAATGATGAACCAATTTCTATGACTCTTCTTGATATACATCATCAATTTGACCCTCCTTGATTAGTTCAAGGAACATCGAGCTAACGACGTAAACCAAAAGCGCTTTCGGGAGGCAACCCGAGTCTCTAACCCTTTTCTACTCTCTTCTCTTCTTGATGCTTTGTTATTTTTCTATCTACAATTTTGGATTGTTGGATTTTTGAGTTTTGATTGTGTTGGAATTTTCAGTATGCTTTGCCTTAGCATGATGGTATGGTGTTTTAGTGTGTTTTGAAGAGGGGTGTTTGTGCATATTTTGCTGCAAAATGAGCATTTTTGTAAATTTAGGTGGTTCGACCAAACTCCCTGGAGGTTCGGTCAAACTTTATGAAAGGTTTGCCCGAACTTTCTTAAGTTCGGTCGAACCTACTCTGGAAGCTAAATCTGAAAACTTTCTGCCAGAGTTGCAGAAATTAAGGATTCAGAGTAGGTTCCACCGAACCTTAGTTTGCCCGAACATAATTGAGTTTGGTCGCACCTCCTCTGGAATTAAAAACTGGAAACTTTCTGCCCATTTTATGAATTCAGCGTTAGAGAGCAGCTTCGATCGAACCTTGAGCAAGTTTGGCCGAACTATTTCAATAGTTCGACCGAACTTACCCATGGTTCGGCCGAACCTTTGACGAGTTTTAAAAAAAAAGGTTGCTGTTTTTCATGGTTTCCTCACTTCATTCGGCCTCTCCCTCTCTCTCTTTATTCTCCTCCTTCTCACTCTAAACTCCATTGTAACCCATCATACAACCTCCCATCTCCATTAAAATCACTCCATTCTTCTCCTTTTCTCACTTATTTTCCATCCTCTACTCAATTTCAACAATCTCCACCCAAAATTCCACACAAAAATCCTATCTTTTAATTTTTCCCGAATTTCTAGGGTTTGAGTTCTTTGGTGTTTTTGGGTTTCTACTTATTTACAATCAATTGTGGTATGGTTTTCCTACCTTTTGCAAGTTCATTTCTTCAATTTCTCATAGTTTTACCATGTTTTGCATGTTTAAATATGAATTGTGGTATTCTTAAAATTGTTGGTAATAGCTTGTTTGATTCATGTGGTTCTTTAGATTTACTTGTTGCAATTGATTGGTAATTGATAGTAGAACATGTTGTTATCATGATTATGCATGTATACTTAGTTTTATTTGATCTCAATGTCTTTGCTTAAATATGTTGATTTCATGCTAGGGTGTTCATGCTACTATTTGATGATTGAGAAATTCATGAGTTGGATGTTGTTGGAGATTGATTCTCGTTGTTTTTGGTTTGATTTTTATGGTTTGGTGAATGATTATCACGTAATTAGGGGACATCATGCCAAAATTCACCTAGACTTTGTTATAGGATTTCTTGCCTATGCCTTGGTTTAAATGTCATAGGATTATCACGTAATGAATGTCATAGATTTTGATGGTTTGGTGAATGATTATCACGTAATGAATTTCATAGGATTTCTTGCCTATGCCTTGGTTTCAATGTGTCCATTAATGCCTTGAATTGTATTGTTGTTATCCTCTACATATATTTCACAACTCAAGGCAACTACATTCATGCATACACTTTTACCGTGGCTAGCTTCTTATGTCATCTCTTATCAAATTGTCCTAATGATAGCTCTTGGTAATTTTGTAGAATCATGGTACTTGGCAAGAGCAAGTCAAAGAGGAAGAGAGTGGGTGAATCTTCATCAACGAATTTCCCTCCTCCTCCCGGCATAAATGATCATAGCATAATTTCTCCAATGAGCATTTTTGGGACGTCTACAAAGCCCTCATCAATCGTCCCATCTGATCAACAAGGTTCTTTTTTCCTACAACGTTGCAAAAGCTCGGTATCTTGGATGAGGTAGTCCGGTTAGCACAAAATTTTGGATGGGGTGACTTCATCTACCTCCACGCTCACACATGTGAGCGAGTGACTTTGGAATTCCTTGCCTCTCTCCGCAAGGAAGTCATAGAGCCGGAGTTTCGATGAGGAACCTCAGCTTGTGATACACTTTCGCAT